GCCACTAGCTTTAGCCAAATTTAACCTCAGCAACGAATACGGATTGGGGGCCCGTGAACAATGACGCCGTTGACACGTTCCTTGAAAGTGAGCAACTGATCCCGTTCGATGACGACGAATTTCAGAATTTCAGTCTGTGGTGTTGGAAGGCCAGTGACCCTAAACGTTGTAGGACCGCCTCGACTATGAGTCCCGAAATCGGTAAACCCATTGTTGTTCCCTTCACCTGCCCGTAGATTCCTCCGTCAAACGCGAACCACTCCTAAGAAGCAAATACGATGAGACGGAGAATCACCTCAAACATACCAAAATCCTACAGCTCCTGGAGTTCTGTCTCAGGACGTACTTCAAGGTTGACGTCCTACAACGGTTAGACGCTGCTTTTTCAACACCACAGACTGAAATTCTGGGCGCGGTATGTGGATGGTACCTTTGTCGTCATCGAATGGGATCAGTTGCTCACGTTCAAGGAACGTCTCAACAGTGTCATGTTTCACGGGCCCCCAATCCATATTCGGCGCTAAGGCCCAATTTGACCAAAGCAAGTGGCCATTTGGGGAGCGCAAAGGCCACCCCATCGTCTTACGCCAACAACCGGGTACCATGTGGCCGAGCAGTAATCTAATCCAATTCCACCACGCGTGATGCAAGTTCAGCAGGTCACGGCCCGTATGGCGGTCAGCAGGCAATCCATGCACAACAGGGCAATTATCGTAAATTTTTGTCATTTGCCATACATCTGCAGTAATGGATGTGTCTTATAAACACTGCAATTTCCTGTGCATGCAACACCCGTTTCTGCTACTATTTTCTGCTCATTTCGAACCATCAGGCGAATAACAGTGTTGTCTCAACGATCAAATTTTCGTCTTAAAGTCGCTTGACTTATGTTACACTTTGACAGTCCGCAGCGGCCGTCACAAAATTCCAAAGATATCTCATGCAGCACGATGACGGCAAGAAACATGTGTCAAACTACTACTATTTTCTGCTCGAGTCGAACAATCAGGCGAATAAGAGTGTTGTCTTAGCGATCAAATCTTCTTCTTCTCAGTTACTTTCTGGGACTCGCATGTTCGCTTGTAAAGTCAGTTGACTTTACTCAATAGTTCTCTTTAATGTTGTTTTAGTTTAAAACTGTGTATGCCGGATTTGCTAAGCGCAAAAAGAGGAAGAAAAGAACCGGTGTATTTCCTTGATGTACTCGTCCATCGCAAAGTTTGTGGTGACTTTAAGATCCAAATGCTCAGGAAAGCGAAAAATACGATGCAAGTAGTGAACTTCAACAACGCCCACCATTTGCGTAAGGACGCTTTTTCGGCCTGTTGAAGCGCACTGCAGTGAACCGGAAGACGAATTTGCTGAAATACAGTATTTTTGGCCTCGTGGTTGTACAAGGCCAGCAAGCCAGTCGCTTACATCGGTAGCCACTATCCCCCGTGACAACGATTAGAAGACACCGTTTGCAACTTAGTGTCCCGCCTCCTCGCGCCTTATCCTAAAAACAACATGAGGGTTGAGAAGAAGATTCGATCGCTGGAAAAATACGTTTATTCGCCTGATGTTTCGACATCCGTCGCGGATTCATCA